GCGGCGGCCGCGCTCCGGCGCGCGCGCCCCGGCCAATGGCGAGGCTCCGGGGGGGCGTGGCCGAGAGGCCGGCGCCCGACCCCGGGCCGCGCGCGGCGGAGCGCGCTCCCCCTCCCACCCCCCCCCCGCCGGGCCGCGGCCGCTCCGCGCATGGACCCCCCGCGCCCGCCCGCGGTCCTAATGCCCGCCCGCCGCCGCCGCCGCCCGCCGCCGCCGCCCGCCGGGGCCACCAACAAGGTACCACGGGGGGGGCGGTGGCGGCGGACACCGGGGTGGGATCCTGGGGAGGGAGGCGGCGGCGGCGGCGGCGGCGGCCGGGGGGGCGGTGACAGCTGACAGCGGCCCGCCCGAAAGTTTCCCCGCCGGTAAAATGGCGCCGCGAGGGGATAAACTTTGGCGGGGGGGGGAGTGTGTGGCAGCGGGGAGCCCGGGGGTGGTGGGTTACACACACACACCGGCCACCCGCCCCCCACCCCCCTCGCGGTGGGATCATCCCTCCTGGATCGCAGCCCTGTGCGATATTCCAGGGATCTGCCCTGCGAGGGATCCGCCCAGCGCCGCCCTGGGGAGATCAGCTAGGATCCGCTTGGAGCGGGATCCGCTTGGAGCGGGATCCGCTTGGTGCTGGACCGCCTGGGATCTCCCTGGAGCGGGATTCCCTTGGCGCCGCCGCTCAGGCTGGGGGTGGTGTCTGGGATTGGCCTGGCAGAGACAAGTGTGCTCCCAGCGCTGGGGATACCTGCTGGATCCTGGGGGATCAACTCAGAGAGGGATAAACTTGGGATGTGGATCCCTAGGCGGGATCCGTGCTGGCATGTGGGATGTGCGTGCTGTTACGTTGGAGCTGCCTTACAGAAGGGTGTCAGGTCATTTCCTGGCTCTGGAGATCCCTGCTGGATCCCTGCTGGATCCCTGCTCGTGGTCCTGTGGATCTGCCTGGGGAGGGATCCACTGGCTGCTGATGCTCAGCCAGCAGGTGTTAGCACTGGGATCAGCCTCCCAGGACCATCCAGGGAGTGCCAGAGAGATCCTGGCTGGATGCCACTGAGACCTGGTGGGATCCACTTGGAATCTATCCCATTGGGTGTCTGGCAGGGTCCCTGGAGGCACTGATCCAGCTCCCCAAACCCGACCCAGAGTCGGGACAGGGGGGTATCCCTGTGGGATCCATTGCTCAGGGACTCTTGGCTTCCCACTGCTGTCTCTCCCACAGGCCCCGCTGGGATCCGAGGGCTGGCTGGGGGAGCCGCCGCCGCGCCAGGATGCGGCCAGCCGGGAGGCCGTGCTGCGGGTGCTGGATGCGGGGCTGGAGCAGTACCTGGCGCTGCACTCGGCCGTGCAGTGCATCCCCGTGCCCCGCCACAGGTAGGGTCACTGGCACAACCACCGGCACGGCCACCGCCCTCCCACCAGCACCGGCCTCACCGCGGGAAATGGGATTTTGTCCGCCGGCCACAGGAGGACTTTGGCCGCTGTCGGCCGCGCCGGGGTGTCCGGCAGTGACCGGCCATCCCGCCGGGACAGCTCTGGGGGCTCCCTGTGCCGTGTGCTGGGCTGAGAGCATCACTGCCCTTTGCAAAATGGTTTCTGGTGCTCCTGACCTCTCGCTTCTTTTTTTTTTAATCTAAATTTTTTATAGTTTTATTTTTGGAGCTGTTGGGCCCAAGCTGAGCCATCCTCATGTCTCTGGGCGGGATGTGGGTGCCGGTGCCCTCCAGCACGGCACTGCCCCTGGGCATGGAGGGTTTTCCCCCAGGGTGGGAGGCAGCAGTGTTTTTTGGCTGGCTGCCTGCACTTCTGCCAGGCCATACCAGGGAGGATTCCAGCCACCTGCTGGGATGATCCCTGCGGGGATCAGTGGCATTTCAGGGTGCTGCAGGGCACAGGGCACCTGCTTTGCACCTGGCGATAACCCCAGCACGGTGTGGTCACCGTGGCCTTGTGCCACTCACACAAAAGCAAACCACTGTGTCCCCCAGTCCCAGCAGCTCGTGGGGGTATGGAGAGGGATGGAGTGGCTCAGGAGGCCCCATCCATCCTGACACAGCCCCTCTGCTCTCTCTGGCAGGAAGCTCTCGGGCAAGGCGGGCATCGACGAGGTGATGGCGGCCGCGGTGCTCACCAGCCTCTCCGCCAGCCCGCTGGTGCTCGGGCACCCACCGGCCACTCACACCCCAGGTAAGAGCATGTCCCTGTCCCCCCTTCCCTGGACACGTGTCCCATGGCAGGACCTGACCTTCCTCCTCCTCCTCCTCCTCCTCACCAGAGCTGGGCGGTGAAGTCTGGAAGGAGGCTCCTGCCATGTCCTCCAGCTGCAGCAGCAGCAGCAACACCAGCGGGGACTGGAGCTGGGACCCCCCCAGCGACCGCTCCACCCCCTCCACCCCCTCACCCCCCCTCTCCAGCCACGTCCCCAGCACCTTCCTGCCCACCCCGCTGCCAGATGAGGGCCCCGACGAGCCCAACGGCACCCACTTCATCTTTGGAGAGCCCATCCCACGGAAGAGGAAGGTGGGATGAAGCTGGGGATGATTCTGGGGATGAGTTTGGGGATGGGGAATAGTGGGGATGGGGATGAAGAGGAGGATGAGTTTAGGATGAGGTTGAGGATGTGGCTGGTGATGGGGATGAGGTTGGGAATGGGTATAGTGAAGACAGGGATGAGGAGGAGGATGAGGTTAAGGGTGGGGATGGCAGGATGAGGCTGGGGATGCAGCTGGTTCTGGGGATGAGGCTGGACATGGAGATTGTGAGGGTGGGAATGAAGAAGAGGATGAGTTTGGAATGGGGATAACAATTTAGATGGGGATGGAGATGGGGATAATGCTAGGGATGACAGTAGGGCTGGAGATGAGGTTGGGGATGGGGATGACAGTGAAGATAGGGATGAGGATGTGGTGGAGACAGGGCGGCCAGCCCTGACACCTCTCTCCTGCAGAACTCCACCAAGGTGATGTTCAAGTGCTTGTGGAAGAGCTGCGGCAAAGTCCTCAGCAGCTCCTCAGGGATGCAGAAGCACATCCGAACAGTGCACCTTGGGTAAGCACGTGGGGTCCCCCCTGGACACCCCCAGGTCCCCTGGTGCCCCCTGTGGGGTCCTGCCCTGGAGGGAGTTGCAGCCAGACCCTGCTGTCCCTGCAGCCGGAAAGCCGACCCCGAGCAGAGCGACGGCGAGGAGGATTTCTACTACACGGAGCTGGACGTGGACGTGGACGCGCTCACGGACGGGCTCTCCAGCCTGACTCCTGTTTCGCCCACCTCCTCGGTGCCTCCCGCCTTTCCCGGCCCCGAGGCTGCGGCTTCACCGCTGCCGCTGGCACTGCCGATCCCCGACCTGGCACTGGCCTCCCCCTGCAGCCCCCCCGGCCCCCCCGGCCGCTGCCACGTCCACACCGACCACGCGTACCAGGTGAGGGGGGATAGGGATGGAGGGGGGACAGGGGCGGGCGGGGGGCTCACCCACCGTCACCCTCCAGCCCCCGCAGCCACCCCGTGTCTGATTGTCTGACGGGGGCTGTGTCCTCTCTTCCAGGGCTACCGGACCCCGCCACGGCCACCGCTGTCCCCTTCTTCACCCACCCCGCCGCCGCCCAAGCCACCCGCCGTCCCCAGGTGAGCCGTGGTTGTCACACCCCACACCCTACCCACTCCCTCCCTCCTCATGTCTCCCTCCTCGTGAGCCACCCTGTGCCCTGTTCCTGCAGGAGGCCGCGGGGCGACGCCAAGAAGTGCCGCAAGGTGTACGGCATGGAGCACCGGGAGATGTGGTGCACGGCGTGCCGCTGGAAGAAGGCCTGCCAGCGCTTCCTCGACTGACGGGGCCCCCTCAGCGGTTCCCTCCTTCTTGCACATTTTGCACTCGAGGTGCCTTCGCGCCCCCCCCCCACCCCCCCCCCGGCCGCCCCCTCCGGACTCAGGGAACGGCCCCCCTCTCCCCGAAAGCTTTATGTGCACACACACACACACAGCACCCCCTCCTCGCCCCCCAGCCAGGGAGCTTGTCCCCCTTCCCTCTTTTTTTTTCCTTCAAAAATAAGCTAAATCCAACCCCGCTCCTGGCCGGTGGGGGCTGGGGGGGGTGGGTGGCCGGCTGCTCCCGGCCCCCTCCCCACTCTGGTTTGGGGACCCCCCAAATAAGCTGTGCCTGTGGCCAGTGGGGGTTCGGGAAAGGGGGTGTCTGTTCCTCCCGGGGGGGGGGCAGCCCCAGTGCCCAGGGCAGAAGTGGGCGCCTGCCCCCCCTTCCCCCTCCTTTACCCCCCCAAGGGGGTTTTTACTCTTTGTATTGTCATTTCTCTCTCTTGTTCCGGGGAGCAGCAGCTCCCTCCGGGGCAGATGCCCCGGGAAGTGCCTGCAGGAATGCGCCCATTTGCACTAAGCCAAACTGCACAAAGAGGGGTCTTTTTGTTTTCCTTTTTTTTTTCTTTTTTTTTTTTTTTCCTTCGTGTGGTTTTTATTTTTTAAATAAAATATATGAAAATTCGTGATTTTAACCACTCCCACAGCACGAGAGCGCGCGGGCCGCAGGACGCCTCAGGACCCAGCCCTGGGTGGGTTCTAAGGGATTTAATTCACTTTAAACCCCCTTTTTACCCCAAAAAACCCCTTTCCCTCCCTCTCCAAAACCATTTGGAGGGTGCTGGCCCTGCCACCTTCCTGCCCTTTGGGAAGGGACTCCCCATTGTGGGGTCCCCCCTCTCAGGGGGTCAGATACTGCTTTGGCCCCATGGGTCGGGTTGGTTGGTGCTTTGCCCCCCACCTGTCCCCTCTGGGGATGTGATGTGTCAGATCCAGAAGGAAAAAAAAAACAAGTATTTGGATTTTCTTTTTAACGGTTCCTGTTCTTTATTTAAAGACAGGTGGGGTGGGAAACCTGGGCCCCTTGGCACCCCCAGATCTGCTGCCACCCCCCTCCTGCATCCCCAGGGAATGGCATCGCCCCGTGCATCCTCCTAGGAGTTGTTTTATTTTCAGATAAAGCCCTAAAAATAAAGAAATTGCCACCAACCCCCAACAGGGAGTGGGGGAACGAGCCACAAGAGGTGCCTGTTTGGGATGGGGATTGGAAAGGGGAAGGGTGAGGGAGAAGCACCCCCAGCCTGAGGGCGAGGAGAGTTCCCTGCTGGGGTTGAAGGGAGGTTTTTTTGGGAGTGGGGACCCCCACCCCAGCATCCAGGAGCAAGGGAGGTGCAGGGCCCTGCAGCACCACAGGGCTGCAGCTGGGTGGTGCCCAAGGTCCCCCCTGTCATCCCATCCTTACACACAGGGTGAGGAAGAAAATAATAATAACTACATATTTAAAAAAAAAGAAAAACCAGACAAAATTGTAGCAGCAATTTCCCAATTTATTGAAACTGATTGATTTTTGCAGGTTTGTCTAAGCTAAATCCCATCACAAAGGTTCTATCCGAGGGGCAGCCCCCCGGCAGGCAAGGAACCGGGCAGCAACTAGAAAATAAAATCAGATTTACCTGAACTACATCGACAGAAAATCAGTACAACACAGCATGTTCTCCCACTGACTTCTGGTTAAGAAATATCCTCAACCTCCCCAAAATATTAAACACATCTTCAATACAAACACAGGTTTATAATAATTAATATAAAGTCAGTATAATATAGAATATTCCCAGAAAAAAAAAAAATCAACAATCTTCAAACGCCGTCCTTTTTTGTGTTTGTTCAGCTTTATTTTTGTAGACAGGTTTAAAGCACGTTGAAAAATAAATATATATGAAAGCATACACACAGCACTCTGACTGGGGGGGGGGTAAAGAAAAAAAAGGCTGAAATTCAAAACACAATTCAGGATCTACAAAAGTCAAAGGAACCATTAATTATGGCTTTCGTAGGAGTCGCACGTGTCACAGAATGAGCGAAAATTAAGGTGATCATCTTTGAGAATATTGCAAAAAATTCCAGTTTTTGCATTGTTTTCATGGAGTTTCTTTCCTCGAGGGCAATGTGCAAAAGGGGGAGTGTTGGGGGGGGGTGGGTGCTCAGAGACAGGGACAGAACCATCGGTCCCAAAACACACCCACTCACCCCAAAGCTGGGAAAGCAGAGTGTTTAAAGGCAGGAGTGGGGAGAGGAAATAAAAGGGGAAGTAATGCTGGAGTGGGGTTTCCTTTCGTACAAAAAAATACTCGGTTTGTTGTCCAAAACATTGATTTTTAATTTAAAAAAAAAAAAAAAAAAAAAGGAAGGAAAAGGGAAAGGACAGTCACTTTGCAAACCTTCCTCAGGGACGTCCCCCTCTGCCTCCACACAATCACAGTTGGGAGGCTTCGGGGTGACCTTAAAACACACAAAGCTGGGGAATGAACAATTTTTAAACAGCATTTTTGGAAATTCCAAATTGACAGAC